ACCTACTTGCGACCTTGTTTGATGGTTCAAATATAACAAAAGGTTATATATGTGCACTTATACATCGGACATAAACGCCAAAAAAACCTTAACCAAGAAGCAAGGAAAGCAAATCAAAAATCAAAAAAATGAAAAAGAAGACCAACCCTCTTCCAAAACAAATTTAGAAAAGAAAATACCAAGGCGGCAAGAGGGTTAGCCTAAAACATTCGACTGGCGGGACTTTCTTGAATGAGTAAAAGAGGTGAAATACACTTCCCATGCTAGCCATGAAACCTCTCCAAAAGATACGACTTATAAATCTCCAAACCACTATCAGACTTTCACGAATGTCACAAAGATTTTTTTTCTTTTCTTTTCTTTCTTTTCACATCCTCCTCTTTTCTCTTCTTTTCTTTTATTGCAAATGACCTAACCCACACAATTGGCTCCCAAAACCTTTCCAAACATTTAACAGATCATTCCTTGAAAAAGAGCATTTTTTGAATTTTTTTTTTCAAACATAAGAATCAAATATTCCCACCTCACAAATATCGAAGCATTAAATTTCAATTCAAACCAAAAGTTCCATAGAGAGATAAACTCAATCACAACATAGAGGAACCCAAACATATGCTCTCAGGTAGGAGCGGCTGAGGGAACCACCAACCAAAACTCTATACAAAACAGCCATAGGCATACGACCAAGAACATCACAGGGGAAATCACCAACCCACATTCAACATAAAGGAGCCACGGGAGAGGACTCACGGCCAGAGACAACAAAAAGGGAAACCACCAGCCCTCATTCAACATAAATGAGTCACGAGAAAGGGCTTACGGTCAGGGACAGCTAAGGGAAAACACCAACCCATATTCAACACAAAGGGGGCCATGGGAGAAGGCTCACGGATAGGGACAGCAAAAGGGAAACTATCAGCCATTTAAAATATAAATCCCCAACCCAACAGGGAAGCTCACAACCGAAAGGTTCAAGGTCATGAAAAGCAATATAGGGCCCCAAAGCAAGCCCAAAAAGGCTTCAAAATCACACCTTTCCATCAGCAGGTGTTTCGAACAGAGGAAGAAACCAAGAACAAAAGTAAACCTTCATGAAATAAATTTTAAAAGCTCTCAAAAGACAACATTCCTTCCAACATATGATTTGAAAAGAGGGGTAACAACTGTAAGGAGCAAAAACAGGACTCAAAGCAACTACAAAAGGTCCTAGAAACCAAATTTCAACTGTTCATGCATTTCAAACGTAGAAGATCTCAAAGAAACAGCAAAACAAAGCCCCAAACATCAAATCTCAAGCTGAGACATATTTTATTAAAACAGGGCTCCATCATTATTAAAGTCGAGTCATTTTTCAAATTAAAACGGGGCTACATTAGGGCCCAAAACCAAACCATATATTATGCTGGAAACAACACCTAACCAAGCCAAAACAAAACCAAACCCGAAACATTTTCAACATAGGGCCAAACCGAAAGTAAGGTCCAACCCAATAGGTGACCAAAACCCAGCCATCACAAGGCAAAATCGAGCCCAGCACAAGGGCAAACCAAGCACAATATAAGGGACAAACCGAGCCTAGCACAGGGGCAAACCGAGCCTAGCACAGGGGCAAACCGAGCCTAGCACAGGGGCAAACCGAGTCCAGCATAGGGGGGGCAGAAAACAAAAAAAAACAGGTAAGCCCCAAGGCCAACGTCTTTAAGTGTTGAAGCAAATCCCAACATATATTTGAAAAAGGGTAACAATAATAGAGCTCAAGAATCAAGTCCCAAATCATCATTTCATTCAACATGTGATTTAAATAAGGAAATATGGCAACCAAAATAACTTTCCAACATAAAGATTTCTTCCAGCATGCATTTCAAATAAGGGCAGCAACAATTATTCTAACATGTATGAATATGAGCAGCATCAGAAGGATAGAAAAAGTAGAAGTGAGAAAGAAAAGAATCATATTGCTTGAAATTTATTCAAAAGAAGCATCATATATTGAATAAGGACAATAGACAACCCTGTATGGTTCCTTTTCATCAACAGTTTTCCCCAATTCAAAAAGAAAAATAAATCTGAGTTTTCTTTTCTCAAATAATTTTGTTGTGCAAACCCCCTAGCATCCTTCACATTTTCCAGAAAGCATATTTCTAATTCATGCATTTCACTCATATGTTCCCATAACCATTCTCATTTTTAACATTAAACTTAATAAATTCCTAAAGCATCCTTAACTTCCCAATTCCAGGTGCAGTAAAAAAAACTCATTCAGGAGCAATTTCAAATGAAGAAAACCAAAAAGAACATTCACTTTTTTTTTTGACAGGCAAGAAATCATTAAGGCAAAATATCCTAAACACATCTTTATAAATTATGAATTCATTAAACCCAAGGCATGAGAATAGGGTAAAATAGATATCTCCTTTGAATGCTTGTAAAAAGGAGGAAAAACATTACCTCTTGATGTAAATTCAACAGTAAACTCAAGAACCAGCCTAAGAATATAAAAAAATCAGCAAAAACCTCCCTTAAGATCTTTGATGCAAAAGAGATCCCGAAAGCCTCGAAAAATACAGCAGCAAATGTTCACGATCAAAAATGCCCCAAATCCTTTCTCTTCTCCTCCCAAAATTTTCAACAACCCTTGGTAGTCAAACACACAACCAAGCAAAAATATGGAACCAACAAGCAAGAGTACCAAACAACCCAGAAAGAATGTCGAGCAAATGAACGGGAAATCTACGCAAGACAAGATTTTGGCAACATCTTCACCCTCCTTTTCAATTTTTGGCCAGCCTCCAAAACCTCCCCAAGGTGGGGTTTTATAGGCAAAAGAGAGAGGAGCAGCCACCTACCAGCCTTAATGATGGTCGCATAGGATGGTGGGAAAGGAGGAGAAGCATTTAGGGAGAAAGAGAAGTAGGCCTCGGGAAGATGAAGGGTCGGCCAGGTGGAGTTTCGCAGAGCCCCTCGGTCGGGCAGCCTGCGAAGAAGAGGAAGAGTCGAACGATGGGGAGCTCGCGATCGAACTAGGAGACGAGCAAGCTAGGGTTCTGCTCGGGTGCGGCCTGCCGATCGGGAGAGTGTAGATGGTGATCGTGCGGCAGGACCGAGCGAGGAGAAGAGGGATCGAGGTCGGTTAGGCTCGTGCGCGACAGAGGAGTGTACCTGGGCTGCGAGTCTGCGTGCGTGAGTGGGATTAAATAGGGTCTTTATTATAATAATAATAATAATTATTATTATTATTATTATTATTATTATTATTATGTTAATATTTGAAAATCTCGATTTGTGCATTTTCGCTTGTGCATGAAATCATGGCAAATTAGATAACTGTTCTAGGTAATTTCAACGTTCCGGACGCGCCGAATTCATCGATTTGCGTGTGATTTTCTCGTGTGCAAAATTATAGCAATATGGGTGTCATTTTTTGATAAAATTGACATTCTTGACGCACCGACGCAGTCCGTTTCGTCATTCAAGATTGTTTAGACAAATTTATCGATTTCCGTGCATGAATATACAAAAGTCATAATTGGTTTCCTATGGCTTTTAAAACCTTTGGGAACTCTCTTTGGGTCTCCAAATGTTGGTCCTTAACCACTCGATCAAATGATGATAGTTTGAGACAACCCAGGCGAAGCACCACAAGAGAATTAGGAAGTGGTTCGAATTTCTAAAAAGGGTGGGTCTCAGGTCTAATACTCTAAGATAGTCGATAGGAGAGTCCTATGGCTAGATTCTAGACTCTATGAAGAATAAGAAAAGACCTCACAAAAATGAGGTCAACAACGGTCCGTAAGCGCAGTAGGCGAACGTAACAGAAGACGCGAGCCGACAGAAGCTCGGCATCGAAACAGATAGAGACGCGAAAACGCGAGCCGACAGAAGACGGAAAGACGCGAGTCGGCAGAAGCTCGGCGTCAAAACAGACGAAGCTGAGGACGTGAAGCAACGGAAGCGAATAGATGACGAAACGCAGTAGGCGAAGGTAAAATCGAGGTGATGAGGTGCGAGCCCTTTTCCTTTGAGCGCGACTGAATCATAGACGACGGAAATCGTCATGCGAAACCCTAGTAGAGACGACGGAAATCACCATCCTTTACAAGAATGGTCGGAGGCTATAATACGAGCCCCCAACCACCTCAGAACTCTGCTAGGGTTTCGAATGGCAATTTCCGCCGCCTATGATTCTCTCGCTCGAACAAGAGGGCTCGCACCTCGTCTATGTCGTACACTCCACTTCTACTCGTCACTTTATCTTACGGTCGCGTGATTAGGGTTAAATCAATTAAAACAATTTAATTGACTACAATGCTACAAAGATTTATAACCAATTAAAATTTTTAATTAAAAAATAAAATAAAAATATATTAAATTATATTTAAATGATATTTTAACATAAACAATAAGAGTTAAATCTTGCCCCAACCCTTAACATTGGTTGCGTGATTAGGGTTGTCAAAATGATTCTTTGCTCGTGAACAGCTCGTGTTAGCTTCATTAGCAAGCCGAACACGAACACACTTTTTGTGTTCGAAATAAAAACGAGTTGAACACGAACAGTGATATTTTTCAACGAGTCGAACACGAGCTGAGCCTGGGCTCACTCGTGTTCTGTTCGTTTACACCCTTACCAATATCATCACTTCATTCAATTATTTGGAAATTGTAAAAGGATTTGGAGACTTAATACAAATAAAAGACATCTGTAAAGGTCACAGAAAAGGGCAACATTAATGTGTTCAAGAAGATAGATTCTGGAAACTAATAATCTGAATACAAAGTGATTCGTAAATATTTCATTAACTTAAAGTAACAAATCTAATTACAAAAATATGATATAAGAAGGAAAAAAAAAAGTAAAGGCAGCTGCTTGTTGCCTTAAAACCTTTTAGCTTTTAAAAGCATCATTTCACTTCATAATATACAAAAGTAACTAGCACTTCAAAAGCATCAGAAAGAAGGAAAAAAAAAGAAAGGAAAAAGATGACCGCTCTGTTTCTCACCTTCATCATTCAAAAAGTTGTTGTTTTTTTGAGTCGCCCATACTTGCAAAGGAGCTCGACATTCCTGAAGACATTTCCGCAATTAATACACTCTGCTTGGAAAAAAAAGGTTGAACACCATTGCAACTTAGCAAGGTTCAAGTTGAAAAGCCTATTGCAGCATATAATAATAAGGTTAAAGGAAAGAAACTTGAAAATACTTAAGAAAAGCATTGTAATAACAATTTTAAAGCTAACTGCTAAATGTTATTAATAGATATGATTCAGTAATCAGTAATAGAAGAAGAACAAGAAGTGGTACACTGTAAGAATTGGACTCGGACTAGCAAGAAGAAACTGAGGATGCTTTCATTGATCACATCAAAGATCTGTTCAACACGACATATTTTGAGACTACTCTGGAAGCATGGGCAGATTGCAACCATAACCTATCAGAACTGGTTAATCCTTTTCGTGAAGAGGAAATAAAAAAGTTTCTTTCTTTATGGAAATTGGAAAATCTACAGGTCATGTCAAATTTAATCCAATGTTTTTTTTTAAAAGCAAAAGATAAGAATGCTTCATTTTTCATGATCCAATAGGAAGTGATAGGGCGGGATGAGGAAGCGAAGGAAAGTGATAGAGCTGCTCATAAAAGCAACGAAGTGCATCAAGGTATGCGCATGATGAGTTGAAGGCGAGTAGTGAGGCTGCTTAAGGAAGGATAGTCTGCAAATGGAGCTGCACAATAAGACTTGCAAAAAGGCAGCAAAGGCGAGGGACAAAGCACAAGTGATAGCTAAATCTTGTAAGGCTCTTAAAAAAAAATTATATTTTCCACACTCTCTCACAAAATGGGAATATATTTTGATCATTTAAAATTTGGAAATAGGATTTTTAAATTGTAACTGATAAAAAACTCAAGTGAAAATAGCTGTAGATAGTTGTTTTATTGGAGAGTAACTAACTTGTATAAATCCTTGTTCAATTGCCTTCTTTATAAAATGTCTATCAATATAGATGTGTTTAGTTGATCCATAGTAGAAAGGATCTTAAGAATGCTAATAGCAGCTTGATTACCACACTGCATTAGCATAGGTTAAGCACTGAAAATTGTTAAACCTTCTAGGAGACGAAGAGGTCACAAAACTTCACTGATTCGATTATTCATAACCCCTGATTCTGCCTTAGCACTGTTCCGAGCAACAGCCAATTATTTTTTTGCTTCTCCAAGTCACAAAAATACCCCATATAAATCGGTAATAATTAGATGTTAATTTACGATCAAATATGTCTCCAAATCAGAACATCAGTGAACATTTTTAATTGTGAAAATTGCTTACATAATAATTAACATTTTTTCCAAGTGTCCTTTTGAACGCACCTTAATATCATATATACAACATTAACATGCTCCTTTATAGAGTTATTCATAAACAAACAATAACAAGTAAGCAAATATCAGGTCTAGTGAGAGAGATATATGTAACTTTCCATACTACCTATCGGTACACCCTTTGTCAACAAGAGTTAAAACTCCCTTTATTTCAATTTTGCAGAAAGAATCCATTGGAGCATTCGCAAGCTTGCACCCAAGCATCTCAATTTCTTCTAGTAAATCCAATATGCATATATGTTGAGATATGGATATCCCATTTGCTTGATCTAAGGTATCTTGATGGGTAGGAAATATTTAAATTCACAAAATTCCTTGATTTCAAATTCTTTGGGTAAGACACATCTTAGTTTGTTTATCTCTACATGATCTCCAATTAGAAGTAGAGTTGTAATCGAGCCGATTCAAGCTGAATATGTAATGGATTGGACTTAGCTAGGTTCTCTTCTAAGTTGTTCATGCTTGGCTCGAACTAGAGCCAAGCTTTCACATATATGGAGAGCCTTCACATATATGTTCATACTTAACTTGTTTAAACTTTTAAATAATAGTAATTGCCTTGTACTTGACTTATTTATATTAATTGAGTGAGTATTTAAATGAACTAATAAACAAACAAAAAATTTGACTGAATATTTAGTTTTCATATAAAAATGTCAACAAATGATCTTATAAATATAAACAAATAAACAAGTTTTTTCATATAAAAATTAGAATCTAACTAGTTTCCAATTATTAAATAAGATAGTACATAAGATACAAGCAAACTTTCTTGCAATACAAACCATTTCAGTGAAATAAAATATAAGAAGGAAATATATTAAGTTAATATGCATATTGATGTTAAATTATGATATGTTACTACTAAACATATTATTAAATAAATTATAGTTAATTGAATGCTATCTAAATAATAGAATATATATGATATGATCTACCATCGAACTAACTATAGAGCATTAAAAAGTTACTTATTGAACAATAAATGAGTATGCTAGTGAAAATAAATAAACAATTTAGACTATGTTTATGTTTGGTTCATTTAAAATTCGAGTTCTTAATGATTGCTCAAACTTCTTTATTTACTAATTGAATAAACTTGATTGATTAAATCAAGCCGAGATCTAGTTGTTTCTTGAGTGCAATGTTTCATTTCAACCTTAGAAGGATGTATCATCAATATATACAGTTGAGAAATAACTTTTCCTTGAGAAGATTTATTTGTAAATAAAGTGTAATCAGCTTGTTCTTGAGAGTATTATCAATTTGTCTTGGTGAACCTATTGAACCAAAAACTTGGAGATTGCTTTAAAATATTCAAAGATTTTTTGATTAAAATGGTTTGCATTGCTAGTACGCTAGTCTAAGAATTTCTCATAAATTTTGTCTTGTAAATTCCTATTTAGGATAACATCTTTTGTATGTAGTTGATGAAATGTCTACTAGAAATTTAAAGCAAAAGTAATCTATATACTATATATGTTCATCTTAGCAACTGGGACAGAAGTTTGTTGATAACCAACTCAGATTTGAGTGAACCCTATTGCAATCAATCATGCTTTGAATTTATCAATACACTCATCTAGTTCACACTTCACATTGCAAATTCATGTACATCAACCAAATTTCTACCCATAGGAAAGATTTAAAAGTTTCCATATACTATTTCTTTTAAGACTTAGAACTTTTTCATGTATTGCATTTCTCCATGTAGATCTATAAGGCTTCTTAAATATAATTTGAAATTTTCATGCAAGAAATATTTGTAATAAAGGCACAAAAATTAGGAGATAATCTATCTTAGAAAATAAAGTAATTTCATTGGGTGTTTGGTGTAAATCCTTGCAAGTACCAACAAAAATACTTAGCTCATCCTCAAAGTATTAAATTGTACTTTAAAAGAGGTGTCAGGACTAAGTCAAATATTGATTTAGTTCAAGAAAAATGGACCAAATACTTTCCCTATACTTTTACTAGTCTTTTCTATCAATCAGGAATAAAGGAAATCAGACAGAATAAAGAGTTTCTTTCTTCGCAATGCTGCAAAGAAGGAAATATTATATTTGCACAAGATTCTTTCCTTTTAGCTGAATATTTAGATTATGAATATGTATTAATTAAATTACCTAAAACGGATTATACATAATATTATGTAACTAAAATAGATTGTACAGACTATTATTTATTGGAATGAAAGTATTTATTGGAATGAAAGCATGGAATGAAAGCAAAGGAAAAAGATTCAGCCTATTTGCTCAAAATATTAACATGGTATCAGAGACACGTCGAATATTTAGCATCTGAATCTTGGGAGTCGTCTGCTTCACCTGGAGAGCTCGTCCTGTTCGCCCTAATTGCTTCCTCTGTGTCGCTCGCTCGACTGCCCGAACGGTCATTGCCGCTCGACGACTTCCTCTGTTCCAGAATTGCAGATGCCGCTCGAATTGCCACTACCGCTCGAACTGCCACTGCCGCTCGACCGCTTCCTCTGTTCGACTGCCCGAACTCCCGCTCGACTGCTCCACCGCTTCCTCTGTTCTCGTCCACTTGGCTCCTGCATCTGTATCTTCGACTTTGATATAGTCGGTGTATTTCAACATCGATATCTCCCGCATCTGTATCTTCAGCTTTGGTATAGTCGGCGTATTTCAGCGCCGATATACTTCCTAGATCGTGGCCCTCTGAGGATCCGGGGCTTCAGCTTTGGCTTTGGAATCCTCTCCTAGTGCACGATTTTTTGAACCTTTTAGGTTGATTTAGATCAATGATTGAGTTTTTTTTTTTTTGGATATCTTGGCTTTCTTTGATTTCTGGTTGATTAACGACAATTCTATTTAGGATGTCTTCTGAAATCTTAGCTATCAGATTTACGGGAAAGAATTATGTCGCATGAGAATTTCAGCTCAGAATATTCTTAAAAGGGAAGGAGCTTTAGGGCTATATTGATAAGTCTTCTCTAGCACTTACTGAGGCAAAAGATCGTGGTCAATGGAAAGTAAAGGATGCTCGGATTGTTTCCTGGTTTTTGGAATCTATTGAGGCTCATATGGTGAGCAATTTACGATCCTTGGACACAGCTAAAGAAATGTGTGAATACTTGAAGCGTGCTTACAATCAAGATAATTCTGCGAAATGCTTGCAATTGGAACTTGACATGAGTTATTATAGTCAGGGTAATCTTTCAAACGAACAATATTAATCTGATTTTCTAAATTTGTGGAGCGAATATACTGGCATTATCTATGCTAAGGTGTCAAAGGAGAACTTAGCTAGTATTCATGTTATTCATGAAGAAAGTCATCGTAATCAGTTTTTAATGAAACTCAGACCTGAATTTGAAACTGTTCGAGCGGGGTTGTTGAACAGAGATCCAGTTCCTTGTTTGGAAGTGTGTTTTGGGCAATTACTGCGCGAAGAACAAAGATTGGTGACACAAGCTACTATCAGTACAACAAATGGATCAACATAAATAATTAATATGGCATATGCTGCTAAAACCAAAGGGAAGGGACCAGTGCAGTGCTACAACTGCAAGAAATTTGGTCATATTGCACGGAATTGTAAAAATAAGGTATGTAATTATTGCAAGCAAAAGGGACATACTCTTACAGAGTGCCCTACACCAACACGACCCCAAAATCGCAAATCACAAACACTTCATGCCACGATATCCGACACTCACAATCCTG